CTTTACTGAGAGTGGTGTGTTGAAGTCTCCTACTATTATTGTGGAACTGTCAGTTTCTCTTTTCAGTACTGTTAGAGTTTGTTTTATGTATTTTGGAGCCTTGTCTTTGGGTGCGTAGATGTTTATTATGGTTATGTCTTCATGATGGATCATCCCCTTAATCATTATATAGTGTCCTTGTTTGTCTTTTGTGGTGGATTTTGTTTTAAAGTCTATTTTATCTGAGACTAGTATTGCCTTTCTGTCTCGTTTTTGGTATTTGTTAGCTTGATATATTTTTTTCCAACCTTTGATTTGTAATAAATTCACGTCTTTGTTTCTAATGTGTGTATCTTGTAGACAGCATATTGTTGGATCCTGATTTTTATCCATTCTGTCACTCTCCGTCTCTTTATGGGTGCATTGAGTCCATTTATATTCAGTGTAATTATTGATAGATGTGAGTTTATTGCTGTCATTTTGTAGTGCTTTTTTTGTGGTGTTGACGTTTTCTTTGTTCTTCTTACTCTCCTATGTTGAATTCCTTTTGTTAGTGGATTTTTGTTTTCATTTCTTTTGTTTTTGAAGGTTTTGATTTTACTGAGACTTTGTTTTTGCTCTTTATTTTTGTGAGTATGTTTGTTAACTTTCTTTGTGGTTATTGTGAAATTTATGCTTATCTTTCTAAGTTTGTCGCAGTGTATTATTACTTGGTATTGCGTTGCCTTCCTCTCCATTAGAAGGTCGTATACCTATACCATTTATTCCCTCTTTTATTATTCTGATGTTTTTGTCATTTACAGATTAACTGCTCTGATTCCTTGTTGTATTTCTTGTGGTTTTCTGTAGTCCTTGAGAGTTCATTTCCTACATTGGTATCTGGCTGGTACAATCCTGTGTCCTAGATTCAGCCTGTGAGCTGAAGTTATTTCTTCTGAGATCAAAGGACTCCCTTTAATAATTCTTGTAAGTTTGGTTTGGTTTTTACATATTCCCTTAATTTCTGTTTATCTGGAAATGTGCTAATTTCACCATCATTTTTTAACGAGAGTTTTGCAGGATGTATTATTCTTGGCTGGCAGTTTTTTTTTGTTTCAAGGTTTTATAGATGTCATCTCGTTGCCTTCTTGCCTGCATGGTTTCTGCCAAATATCTGAGCTTAGTCTTACTGTTTCTCCTGTGTATGTGACTTTTTGTTTTTCTTGAGTTTCTCTCATTATTCTTTGTTTGTCTTTGGTTTTGGCGAGTGTGATTATGATATGCCTTGGTGATTTTCTTTTGGGGTCTATCCTATATGGGGTTCATTGAGCTTCTTGGATGGGCAGGTTTTCATCTTTCATGATACTTGGAACATTTTCTATCAACAGTTCTTCAATGATCCTCTCTGTGTTTTCTGTTTTCTCCCCCTGTTCTGGAATGCCAATCACTCGTAAATTTTCCTTTTAATTGTGTCCCACATAACTCTCAGGGTCTCTTCATATTTCTTTGTTCTTTTTTCTGAGTTTTCCTGAAACAGAGTTGTATCCAAGTGTTTGTCTTCAGTTCCACTGATCCTGCCTTCCACCGTTTCAAATCTGCTTCCCAGCCTTTCTATGACATCATCCATTTCTGAAATCTTGTTGTTTATCTTTTGGATTTCTAATTGTTGTTTTTGTATAATTTCTAGTTGTGAATGTATTTTGGCATTTTGTTCCTGCATTATTTTCCTGAATTCTTCCATTTTTTTGTCTGTGTTTTCATGAATTTGTGTATTTTTTCCTCATTTTTATCTGTCTTTTGCTTCAACTCTTGGAGAATTCTGGGTATTAGAGATTTGAACTCCCTATCAGGTAGTTCTAGTACCTTTTCTTCCACTGGAAAGTCATCTGGTGTTTTATTTTGGATGCCTACTTGAACCATTCTTGCCAGTTTTTGTAAATGTTTTGATTTTGTCTGCTGTCTTCGGGGCATTCAGTAGTTATTTTTCTCGTCTACTGATTTTATATTTGTTTGTTTCGTCCTGTTTTTTTTCATTTCAGTATGTCTGAGCAGGCGAGCTATATGTTCTTTGTTTGCTCGTCTATGGGCAAGATGCTTTTTGCCTCCTTCTCCAACTGGCAGTGTCTGTCGCTCAGATATGGTACAGCAGAGCAGGTGTAGCTGGAGGAGAGTTGTTGGGATGGGTTGTTTGTGGCACTTACTACAGCCAACAGTGCGGGTCGGTAATTAGTGCAGGGCAGGTTTCGTTGCGCCGTGCCTGTGCTGCTTGGTGTTGTGATGTTAAGCGTATGGTGTGGTTAGTCAGGATGGAGGGGGGGAGATTGTGATGTGTGGAGCTAGGATGGGTATGGGAGAGAGGAGAGAGGAACAGGAGCCAAAAACATGCAAAGAAGCAAGAAAGAGTGCTAGGGGAGCTTGCCATTGGAGTGGAGAGATTAGTGACTGTGAAATGGAGAAAAACTAAAAGGGGAAGGAGAAGAAGAAAAAAGCAAAGAATGAACAAATAAAAATTAGAAAGAAAAAAGAACACCAAAGCTCCCAGGGATCCCACCAGTGCAGATACGAGGTCTGGGGAAGTTTTTCCCAGGTGTTGAAGTTCAGCCTGGCTAGGAGGCGTAGAGCTGTCACTCAGCGCCAGGTATTCAGGGGACAGGTAGAGAAGGAAGGTATAGAGAGAAGAGAACCTGAGTAATGAAGAAAGACAAAAAAGTAAAAGAGGGAAAAGACAACAAAAGAAATTAAAAAAAAAGAATAGGAGAAACTCCCCAAAAAACAGAAAAAAAAGAAAAAAATACCACAAAAGAAAATTCTCTCAGGGATCCTTCTGCGCGTCTGCGCAAGCTGAGGGGGTAGGTCCCAAGGTGTGCAGCACTGCTTGGCCAGAACGGGCTCCCAGCTTGCGAAATGAAAAAGAAAACAGATGATTTAAAGCAAACAAACAAAAAACGCTGCTGGATCCCACCAGTGTGGCAGCACTGACGGGGAAGCAGTTTCACACTTGAGCAGAGCTCCACAGCCCCTCAGGAAGAAGCAAAGATGGCACACGGAATCTGTCTCTGTTTGGCTTAGTTTTTTGGATCTTTGCTGTGGAGGGACAGTGTGGTGCTTCTTCCTAGAGTGCTATGTTGCCAGAAACCCTCAGAACATTTTCTTAATGCCTGTTGATCTAGATGTCCCCCAAAACTGTGGTCTCCAGGCCCCAGCCCCAGCTACTCTATCCATCAGAGTATTTGGATGTGTCCAGGAAACTGCTTTGCTTTTGCTTTCGTCCAGCTGTGCCGACTTCCCCTATATTGTGTGTTGTCCTTCTGTTTACCGAAGTTGCATATTTTACATTTTGAAAAAGTATTGCAAAATTGACTTCCAAACAGTTTGATACCAATTTAGATTACCACGATGAGTGTACCTGTGTCACCACATTCTCATAAACACTGAACATTAGGTGGTAGAAATCACTTAAACCTCTAGTGTAAAAGGAAATTTTTCCCTGTAGAAAACTTTTTAGGATTCAAATAAACATATATAGCCTTTTAGCACAAAGAGAAATACATACTTTAATTTTATAAAGTATATTGATAATTTTTAAACATTTGTTACTTCTTAAGTTACCCCATATGAACAGTTGTATTATTTGATCTTTCTGATTGAAGTGAATACTTTTAAAGTCCTGTAGAAGAGAATTTTCTCTAATGCTTAGTAGATGGTGATAGTTTGATATCTACTGTTGAAGTCAAGATTTAAGTAATATGTTTGTGTTAACCAGCAAGCAAGCTGTATATGTGGGATACTTCATCAGACAGCATGTATGTTATTTTAGCAAAATTATCATATGTATTTCCTTAAAAAGAATGACTCTTAGCTGTAAGATCCTTTAAAGCTTAAAAGGTGTTCACCTTGCCCCTCATACCCATGAAACAATCAGTTTCGTTGTCCTTTATCAGTTAAATTTTGCCTCAGTGATGAGTGATAATCATGTACTTTAAGTGGGAAATCCTGCATGGCCTATTGTGTTTTATGTATCATTTCTTATAATGTAACTTGAGAAATTTGTGTTTTCATGTAAATTTAAATTGCTCTTAGTCTTTAATAATAGTTGATACTTCATACAGTATACTTCAATATATTTTTAGATTTTTTTTTTATTTATGGAAGACATTTGTTTTTTCAGCTACTGCATATCTTTTGGGGGTGATCTTTTTCACCTATGTGATTATTTTTATTCCTGCCTATTATAGGACCTTAAAAACCCATTATAAAGCCCCAAAAAACCAAAAAAAAAACAAAAAACAAAAAAACTAAACCCATTGCATTGAGTTGATGCTATACTGTTAGGATATAATTAATGCTTATTAGTACAATATTAACTGAATACACCAGCAGATAAAATATCATTATTCTTAAAATATTGTTTTATCTTCCCCCAAGGCCAGCATTGTAAAAGAATTAACTTTATTTACTTAAATGTATAACATTTTCATTTTTATTGTATATTAATTAAATGTTGTTTTCTACACATTTTTATAGGCCCTGACTTTGTTGTTTGTGATGAAGGGCACATACTGAAAAATGAAGCATCTGCTGTTTCAAAAGCTATGAATTCTATACGATCAAGGAGGAGGATTATTTTAACAGGAACACCACTTCAAAATAATCTAATTGAGTGTGAGTTAAATATCTCCAGTTTTACTGTAGCATTTTGTGTTGCTTTAGATACGTTTTTGCTAGTTTGCCGTTCACCTGTCTTCTGTTTAGCATAGTGTCTGACAATGATCTATATAGGTCTGTTTTAGTCTACTGTGGAAAAATACTTTTCAAGTGGGATGCTTTATAAATATGAGTGGTAAACCACAGTCAAGAGGTGTACCATTGTGAATGTTCAAATATAAATATAGAATTTTAAAACTATATTAGAAGTTTTTAATGATTGCATTTAAAAATACATATACATATAATATTGGTATTCAGAAGATATTATAAGGAAATATATCTAAGTTTTAGCGAGCTACTGAGAGGAAATCAGAAAGAAATGTCAAGCCTGAACATTTCAGGGAGGTGGAGATGGGAGAAGGAAACCTGTGTTGCCAAGGCAGCACAGAATTTGCTGAGACTGAGGACAGACTATGTGATTTGTGAGTTTCATTCTTTTTTGTATGTGTGTGGTGACACTGAAGAGGAAACTCGAGATCATTCAGCAAATAACAAATTTCCCATTATTATAAATCTTCCATTTTTATTTTTTCCTTTTGTGATTGCTTTTTGTTATTTTGATGTTTGCTCCATTCTTTGAGTGTATTCATATTAGCTGTTGTCTAGTTTATTGTTGATAATGCTGGTTATTCATTCACTTTAGCTTTTATTTATCTGTATTATTATCTGTTCAAGTTTCACCCTTTTCTGTTCTGTTAGTACACTTATAACAATGTTATTTTACATTGTCGTCCTTAATAGTATAGGGAAGTTGATAGATATATTAAAGACTTCTGGAATTGAATCAGTTAATATTATTTTGGGATAGTAGCTTATTTTCTAATTTTATTATGTTGATTCTGCATCTAAGTTTGTTTCACAAGATACCCTCACTGACCGTAACAACATGGTTAGAGTTACAGAACAGTTGTTATTTTAGTTAACATCTGTTATAAAGAACAGTGAGTTAGCATAAAATGCCCTTAGGTATTTCTTCAAACATTCCTGTCTAGTATTTTTATAACGATGATTTTTGTTTGAGTTTCTCATCTGATTTAGGTAATTTAGTTCTAGATCAAACTTATAACCAATGTTTATTTTATACTGTTTGGTATTCTTTTTTGTAGCATAATTCTAATGCTTCTGTGACGTGTTTTTAAAAGAAACATTTCATCAGAAAAATTTCTGAGCCATTTTAACCATGTTGTTAATGAATTAATGTCTTCTCTCTTAGATCATTGCATGGTTAATTTTATCAAGGAAAATTTGCTTGGATCCATTAAGGAGTTCAGGAATAGATTTATAAATCCAATCCAAAATGGTCAATGTGCAGATTCTACCATGGTAGATGTCAGAGTGATGAAAAAACGTGCTCACATTCTCTATGAGATGTTAGCTGGATGTGTTCAGGTATAAATATGTTCCATAGTAATAAAATATTGTTAGTTTCTAATATTGCAATCTTGAAATATTTTGAGTTTAAACTTGAATTGTTTTATATTTTCTTTCCCCTTTTTTCAGTATGTAGTTTTACTCTTAAATATCCTTGCATTGTCTTCAAATATATTCAGCATTGAAGTTAAAAAAAAAATTCCAGTGAGAAGTTTAGAAGTTAATTAATTCATTTGCCAAATATAAAGGTTCACATTTTAATAAGTTAATGTTTAGATTTTCTTCAGCCTTAAGATAAGGGAATATGTGAGAGGAACACAGCTGTTGTGATTAAGAAATTCCCATGGTCACTCTAGTTCTGTAGTATTCTAAACCTTACTTGAAATGGTTGTAGAAAAGGCCAGAATGAATTACAGAGGAGCCATTTTAAAAGTAATCTTGAAGAAATAGTTTTATTACTTTCAACTCTATACAATAACCTGAACAGACTAATAGTGTTGTTTCAGTATGAATCTTCAGTAAACTTACATTAATGCATAGATAATTATGTATAACAATAGAGCTTAACATCTGCACATTTTCTTCAGACACTAGATACTAATGATTGGCACAAACATGTTGCAGCAGATGAGGCAGGCTGTTGTTTTGGCTGTATATACTGACATTGTATAAGGCAAAGTCATCCTGTGTGGTCAGGTTGGCCACAGATACTAGTAAATACTCAGTTTCTGTACTGCTGGTACTACCAGGCTGTGCTTTTTTTTTTTTTTTAAAGTATTTGTTTGTGACTAGCACATTAATGCTCTCCCTTTTTGGTCTGTAGAATAAGATGATTTTGAGAGTGCTTGTACATGGCTTAGTTTCACAGTTGGACAAACATTTCTCCTGAAGTTATGTATTATCCATTGGCATATTGTCATAACTTATGCAAAGGGCAGCCAGACTGCATCAGACTTTGTTTCATAGGTTCTACTATACGATTAAAGCAAGTCCTATCCTGACATTACCTACTATGCCCTTTCCCTATCTTTTTTCTTTCTTTCTTTTCCTATGTACAGACCATTTTTAATATCTAAGTTGCTCACTTGGTAATATGACTAAGACTTGCCTCATGTTGCAGTATCTTTATTGGTATACCATATTGTACGGTCATTTAAAGTACATTAAATACAATCATATGTGGGTCATTGTGTGCTTAAGAGGGTTTATATGTTTAAGAAAATGTTTTTATATATGTTCAGTATCTATTTATATCATTTAGTTGTAAGCAATGAGAATTCTTAGAGCAGATAATTACTGTCATTAACTAATTTTCATTCTCTTTCTTGTTAATTATAGAGGAAAGATTATACAGCCTTAACAAAGTTCTTGCCTCCAAAACATGAATATGTGTTAGCTGTGAGGATGACTCCTATTCAATGCAAGCTCTATCAATACTACTTAGATCACTTAACAGGTAACAGATACACTTAGTTTGATGTTTTTCTCTTCATTTATAAAGGCATTCTTTTTCTGGAGAATGCTGTCTAGTTAATTTTACCCTGTCAGTTGTTCTTTTACAATTTTGAATTTGAATAACACGGATATGCTTATTTTGTAAAAGCACAAAATGTTTCCCACTAAAAAAAACCACTAATACTTGTAAAATAAAATTAAAAGTCAAGGTGTATTGTTGTTAGCTGCTATCAGATGGACCCCCGACTCATAGGCATCCCATGCAAAACGGAACCAGACACTCCCTGGTCCTGTGCTATCCCCATGATGGGTTGTGAATTGGAGTGTTGTGATCCATAGTAGATCACTAGGCCTTTCTAGTCCGTGTTAGCTGAAAGTTCCACTGGAATCTGTTCAGCATCATAGCAACACTGAAGGCTCCACTGACAGGCAGGTGGTGGCTGTGCATGAGGCACATTGGGTGGGAATTAAACCTGGGTAAGTCAAGGAATAAACTGGTGAAAAAACATATACAGCATATATGACTAATGCCCTTAATATGTAAAGAACTTTTATTTCAGAAAAATTATGAATATGAATAACTCCATAAAAGAAGATATACAAACTTTCAGTACATTAAAAAAAAGTCAGCCACACTAATAATAAAAGACAAGTAAATTAAATTCATGAGTTCATTTCTCAGTTAACAAATTGACAAAGGTTGATGGGAGAAAAAAGCAAAATACAAGGCAGGGGATATAGTATGCTCCCCATTTTATAATAAATATACAGACAAATGCTTGAAATGCACCAAAATATTAATAGAGGTTCTTTTCTGGGTGATTTGATTGTGAAAAAAATTTAATTCTTATCTTTTTTTGTGTAGTTATTAAAATATAGTGCATAGGAATTGTTTTTATCATTATGAAACGTACGTGTGTGTGTGTATGCGTATGTCATCCTGTGTATTCTCTGAAGTTGTCCCTGTCCACAGAGCAAAATATAGTCTTGTTTTGGTCTAGAGTGAGACTTCTTACTTGTTGGTCACTTCATTCTGAGGCCATTCCCCCAAGAGAAGTGCCAGATTCATTTAAGGGGATACAGGTTAGAAGGGAGCTTTCAGCCAATTTGGGGAAACAATAATTATCAAAAATAGGAGAGTGTACACAAATATTAATATGATACTTGATAATAGCTAAAGTGATATCCTCTTGTCACAGCAGTGCGTTTTAGAGAATAGAATAGTGATAATGGTCTTCAAGAATCATTCTTCTTTGGGGAAAACAGGATTTTAATATTAGTATTTTACAAAACTGCTTTCTTGCTGTGACATAAAAATAGTATTACTCACATTTGAAAGAAAATTTTATTCAGGCACATGTTTTCATTTGTATATCAGTCAGAAGCTGTCAGATATATAATTCTGTTTCTTTTTTATCTTATTGTGGTAAAATATATATAACATACATACAATGGAATTTTACTCAGCCAGTAGGAAAAGTGAAGTCTTGATACTTGCTACAATATGGATGAAGCTTGGAGACATTATGCTGAGTGAAATAAGTCAGTCACAAAAGGACAAATATTGTATGACCTCACTTATATAAAAAGACCAAAGTTTATTAGTGGTTACTAGGGGCAGGAGGCAGGGGTAGAGGGGAGGTTGTTACTTATGGAATATGACGTTTCAGTTTATGATGATGGAAAAATCACACTGATTAAGGATAGGGTTGCACAGCCAATTATTATAAGTACTGTCAGTAAGTTGTATACCTGTAAAAAGTAGAATTGGCCAAAGTGTGATAAAGATGTTTACGACAATGAAAAAAAAATGTAGCTGCTAAGGCTGCTTATATACAACCAAACACCTCACAGGATTTGGTTCCTTGGTTTAGAGGTTTAAGGTCTTCGTTTCATGGGACATCCCAGTTAATTGGCCTAATAAAGTGTTTAGTGTGTGCTTCTGTTCTACATCCTAGTTTGTTGTGTGCAATTGGTCTCTGTTCACCTGGAGCAACAGAGGAAGAAGGAGAGTCAGGAACAGGAGGAGGATATGGAATGTGTGACTAATTGCCTCCATGAACAACTACCTCCTTTGCCATGAGACCGGAACTGGATGGTGCCCAGCTACCATTACTGAACATTTAGATCAAAGATTCTGTAGTAGAATTCTGATCAGAAGGGGGAATTGCAGAACACAATTTTAAATTCTCATAGACCCCAGACTTTCTGGAGCCATGAAGGCTAAATGAACCTATGAAGCTGTTGCCCTGAGATAATCTTTAAGCCTTAAACCAAAAATATCCCCTGAAGTCTTCCTAAAACCAAGTAATAGTTTTAGCTTAACTAGTAAAGAATGTCTGCCTTGAACATTGTGCTCTTTCAGGATCTGACCGTATGGGATCAAATTGACAACAGCAACTCAAAAGATTAGATAGGAACCTTAGGGGGCAGTGATTTTATGTAAATGGGGGAGGAATAACTCAAAAGGAGGGCAAGAATAGTTGCACAACTTGAAGGATGTAATTGATATCAGTGAATTGTACATGTAGAAATGAATTGGTGTATGTTTTGCTGTGTTTAGTCTCAACAACAACAAAATAAAATATGCATATATATATAAAACAAAAAGTTTGCCATTTTAACCATTTTTAACTGTACAATTTAGTGACATCAACTACATATACTGTGTTGTGCTACCATAATAACTATACATTTGCAAAATTTTTCATCACCCTTAAACAGAAGCTCAGTACCCCTTCAGCAATAACTCCCATCCCTCCTTCCACCAATTTCTCCACAACGTCATCAACATTTGTTATTTTCTGTGTTTCCTGATAATAGCCATCCTAGCGTGTATGAATTGATATATCTAATTGTAGTTTATTTGCTTTTTTTTAAGAAAAATTTTATTGTGGTAAATATATATGACAAAATATTTGCCATTTCAACATTTTTTGCATGTAAAATTCAGGGACATTAATCACGTTCACCTTGTTTTTCAGCCATCACTGCTATCCCTTTCCAGATATTTCCATCACCCTTAACAAAAGCTCAGCGTCTCCTAAACAATGAGTCCCCTTTATCCCCTCCCTCCCTCTCACCCACCCTTGGTACCCACTGAGAAAGGTAGGTCTGTATACACTTATCTATTCCAGATATTTCATATAAGTGGGATCGTACAGTACTTTTTTCTTTTATGACTGAGTTATTTCACTCAGTGTGATGTGTTCAAGGTTCATCCATGTTGTGGCATGTATCAGGACTTCATTTTTTTTTAGTGACTGAGTAATAATTCCATTGTATGTATGTACCACATTTTGTTTACCCATTCATTTGTTGTTGGACATTTATAATTGTCTTATTCTAGCACTAGTTATCTAGTACTACTTTAACAGAAATACCACAAATGCGTGGCTTTAACAGACAGAAATTTATTTTCTCACAGGCTAGAAGTCCAAATTCAGGGTGCCAGCTCTAGGGGAAGGCTTCTCTCTCTGTCAGATCTAGAGGAAGGTCCTTGTCTTTCTTCAGCTTCTGTTCCTTGGCTCCTTGGTGATCTTCATGTGGCATGGCATGTATCTCCCTTCTCTGCTTCCTTGCTGGCTTAATCTGCTCTTTTATACCTCAAAAGAGATTGATTTAAGACATACCCTATACTAATACTGCCTCATTTGCATAACAAAACCCATTCCCAAAAGGGACTGTAAGCACAGCTACAGGGATTAGGATTTATAGCACATATTTTTGGGTGACAATTCAATCCATACCAAGGCTGTTTCCACTTTTTACCTGTTATGAAAATGATATGAATATGCAGTACACGTAAACATGTATATACATATGCCTACAGATTCACCTACACTTGCACATCTGTATATTCATATGTGCCTTCTGTCTAAGTTTGGGCTCTCTAGAGAACCCATATATATTCATATGTATCTGTCTATGTAACCACACATGTATTTTAGTTATTACTGTTGTTGCAAAATTATAAGTATTACATTTACAAAATCATCCCTTGTTCTTTTTTTTTTGGTGCTTTAGGTGAATGTTTACAGAGCAAATTGTTTCTCATTCACAAAGTTATACACAAATTGTTTTGTGACACTGGTTGCCATCCTGCATTGTGTCAGCACTCTTTCCCTTTCTACCCTGGGTTCTCTTGTGTCCATTCGTTCAGTTTTCCTGTCCCTTCCCGCCTTCTCGTCTTTGTTTTTGGGTAGGTGTTGCCCATTTATTCTCGTATACTTCATTGATCTAAGAAACACGTTCCTCATGTGTGTCATTGCATGTTTTATAGGCCAGTTTAATCTTTAGCTGAAAGGTGAACTTCGGGAGTGGCTTCAGTTCTGAGTTAGAAGGGTATCTGGGGGCCATAGTCTTGGGAATACCTCCAGTATTTGTCAGACCAGAAAGTCTGGTCTTTTTTGTGAATTTGATAATTTGTTCTACATTTTCCCCCACTCTGTTTGGGACCCTCCGTTGTATTCTCAGTCATAGCAGTCAGTGGTGGTAGCTGGGTGCCATCTAGTTCTTCTGGTCTCAGGGTTGTGTAGGCTGTGGTTCACATAGTCCGTTTAGTCCTTTGGACTAACTGCTCCCTTGAGTCTTCAGTTTTTTTCATTCTCCTTTGCTCTGGACTAGAAGAAACTGACAGTTTAATCTTAGATGGCTGCTTGGAAACTTCTAAGATCCCAGACACTACTCACCAAAGTAGGATGTAGAACATTGCCTTTAAGAACTATGTTGTGCCAGTTGACGTAGATGTCCCCCAAGTCTATGGTCCTTTGCCTTCAAGCCTGGGGACTTCATCCCATGAGGTGTTTAGTTATGTCTGAGAGGTTTCCCTGACTGTGCGCCTTGTGTGCTCTATTATCTATATTAATATACGAGGAGCACCTACAGTCATGTATTTAGAAATTTCCACCACTGAACCTGTATCTGCCGGTGGATGTGCTCCTTTACCCCTTCCTTCACCTCTTGGCATATCTATCTGTGTATCCATTTGTAGATTATTGT